TCAAGGTTCTCTCCCCCCTTGCCATATCCAACCCAACTGCCCGCCCAGAGCCCCCCTAGCCCCGCCCCTACCCGCCAGGCTGCGGAAGAAGAGGGAGTGCGTGTCGCGGAGGTTACTGTTCTCCAGCAGTACCAGGGTGCGGGGCCCCCCGCCCGCGCTCGCCAGGCCCAGCCCGGCCGCCACCAGCAGCAGCCGCCACAGCGGGAAGGCACCCGCCACAGCCTCCATCTTCCTGTCAGGCACCCGGCGTCACCCGGAAACGACCCCTGCAGCTGGCCAATCAGCGCCCGATTCCCGCAGGCGGGGTGGAGGCAGCCGCGTCCCCGCCTACGCGACTCGGAAGCGACTAGGACCTGCCCGCCTTGGACGGAGCCGGGGAACTGTGCTGAAGTCCCGCCCCCCCCGGAAGCAGGGTCCAATCACAGGCAGACAACTCCACATAGCGGCAGAGTGGGACAGGGAGGGCGCATGCGCGGCGCGCCAAGCCACGTGCAGAGTCTGTCTTCCACGTTCACCTGTCACCTGCGAGCCTCTTTTCCTCCAGGAGCTCGGGCTTAAAGGAGAAGCACCAAATAATGGCGAGACCTGGAGGAAAATCCTGAAGTTTGGCAAAACTCTTCGTTAAACAAGGCTGTAGGTTGGGCCCCTTTCCTGCCCCCCAGGGTCTCTTTCCCTCTGCTACTGCTCCTCCTCACCCTTAAGCCCTAACCGGAGCAGTCCGAGTGCACCTTGTCGTCTGAATGGCCTCTTGAAGCATGGAGCAGCCAGGCAGACAGGAAAGATCTGCTGCTGATCAGCTGAATAAGAGGCCAAATGGATGGGCAGAGACTACCCATTGTTCTGCAGCTTCAGGGACAGTGGCCAACCTGCCATGTCTAGGAGAAACAAAAGAATATGGATTGTCAGGCTGAATTTCCCATTAAAAGGCAGTTTATTGGCATCAGTGAATATGCCCAATGCATAAAGAGAAAGTACCGGTTACAATACAAGTACTTAACATACAGTATAGCTTACAAAAAAAAATCATCAACATCTTGGACACATGGACATGAAACAATCTTTTCCACTGACTTAACTGAAATGAGTGATCTGCTCTACAAGTCAGTGAATAAATGTGCAAATTATTTATCTAGGTACTTGTGAGTCGGTGTCTCATAAGAAATAACAGCTTCAGACTTCATCCGAGATAGCAGACGGGGCAAGAATGGTTGGGCATCAGAAGCTCTGACTGACACGAGGAGGAGAAAGACTGCAGGATTGTGTATGAGGCATGAAGCCGAGCTGTGGATGGGACGTTAAAAAACAAAGGAAATGCTGAGATACTTGCATTGGGAAAGCGAGAAATTGATGTTTAAGGATTTTTTGAGGAATCTCATGCCAGAGAGGGTTTTAATCTGAGGACAGAGGTTTGATGTCCCTCCGTGTGTTTGGAGTGGTGGAGACCTGCAAGGGGAATGGCAGGATAATGTACAGTGCTAGCCACACGGACATGGTAAGGAACAAAAAGAGATAGCAGAGAAATGGGCCAGCCCCAGCGTGAACATGGAGTTGTTAGTACAGACTTTAAGACACCTGGAAGCAGCATATCATTGTCTTCACCATCCCTACAGGAAAAGAAAAGTCAGCATTTGTTCCAGAAGCCACCACGATCTGAAGATTCCTGCCACCAGAGGCACCAAGGCAGTCTGCTGCTTGGCTGAAGGATGCTACCTACGAAGGCCGCCACAATCTGAAGAGTCTATAGCCACTAAAGGCCACTGCAGTCAAAAGGGGTCATTGCTGAAGCTGTTTTTACCCTTCTTGCGCTTCGTTTTGGCAGATGATGTAGTGAAGTCAAGCGATTCAAGACGGAAAGGACGTGGCTGGGGCATCTCTACCACCTGTGTAGGAGAGACTGGTGCCATGCTGGAGGTACTGTTGTTCAGGGGAGCACCCAGCACTGGGGTGGCATTATGGTGTGCTGTGAATAAAAGGAACAAGTTATACGCTAATACAGTTCACCTGTATTTGTTCAGCTATAGCAATGCTTTCCCAAGTTTCTTGCTGCATTAAAATCTCAGGCATTGAGTTTTATTAGAAACAGTTTGAGGAAATTAAATAGCAAGAATTCTAGTTGTAGGTACATGATCCTGCAGTTGATTTCACTGGTGAGTCACTCCAGTACACAATGTATCTAGTCAAACTGCTGGCCCTGGACAGAGAAACAGTTCTCTTGTGCATGAGCTTTGTTTGAGGACTTGCCCTGCTCAGTTTCCCATGGTACAACACATATGCATCGATTATTTATACATTATGTTTTGTTTTGTTATTCCTGTTTATTCCCTGTACAAATAACAAAGGGGAGGGCTGTGATACTCACTAAGATTCTTTATAGGATCTGCATTGAGGATCTGGCTGGCTCGCTTAGATCGGAAATAATTACTGGCAATATTCTCACTGTCACTCTTGCTCAGCATCATCTTGTAACGGTCTTCTTCCTCCTGGAATCACAAAGCTCTGTCAGCACTGCACCCCCTTAACTCTATTCCTTAACCCCTCCTGCTCCAACTGAAAAGCTGGGGTCTGGTGTTAGAAATACTGCAGAGTAATAGAACAAACGTGCTCCCATCTAGTTCTTGGGCAAACATTACAAAACAGTCTGGACAGGCCTGGGACAGATGCTGCAATATTGTCTGACACCTGCGAACAAGACGCCCAGTATAACAACACAGGTGAAGTTCTACCATGGTGGAGAATGCAAGGCAATAGTGTAACTAGGGTGGTGCAAAAGTGGCAGTGGCCCCACGTGCCAACTGGGGAGGGGCAGAAAGAAACAGCTGTCACCACAGCCATGTAGTTGTGTCGGTGGCATGCCAGCAGCTGGAAGTTGCTGCTGCCTCCACGTGTTGCAGCTGCCCCAGGCACCCGGCTGCCTTGTTACGTTTCGGGTGCAAGGCCTGCTGCACGCTACGCAGAATGCCTTTCTGGCACGTCTCTCAGCAGGTGCCCACAGATATTTGGCTAGAAGATTAGCCAGCCATCCAAATCAACTGTTCCAAAGCCCTACCAAAGGAAGGGGTAGCAACTCCTATATGTAACGGGCTATAAAAGCAAATGAAGAGCCTGAGTCCTTCTCCTATCCCATGCCCCCTCCCTGCTGGACTGTCCCACTTACTCAGGTTTTGCAGGAAGGAGATTGGGAGAGAATCAGCAACTGATCCATGATAAAAGTTCCTGACGGAGGTTTGGAAATCAGCTTTATTCCACACACGCTGCTCGACTGTAGTCTTAGACTTACGTCCTGACAGAAATGGTCAGGCAGACAGATAGGGAGTGGTTTTGTCATTAAAAGGGAACTAAAATGATTCCAGCATACCAGGATTTGAATACAGCTCTCCAGTGAGAGCAT